CTGGTACCCTCTTCTGGTGTGCAGATATACATGGAAGCAGAATGTTGTGCACACAATAAATAAATAAAATCTTTAATAAAAACAGAAAGAAGCAATCTGAGCAATGGGGAGCAAGCCGGTAAGCAGCACTCCCCATGACCTCTGCTTCAGGACCTGCCTCCAGGATTGTACTTCCCCCTTTCCTCCCAGTTGCTTTTGGTCAGTGTTGATCACAGCCACAGAAAGCTAGCCAGCATAACCCACAGGGACAGCCTACCTGGGCCGTCTCTCTGGATCCCCATCCTCCATAAGTGTCCTAGTCCTTTATTTTTATTTTGAGACAGGCTCTGTAAGTTGCCAAGGCAAGCCTTGAACTTATCACCTCTCTGTTTCAGTTCCCAAGAATCTGTCACCAAGCCTGGCAAAAATTTTTGTGGGGGAAAGGAAGATTCTTCTGGTTTTTTTTTTTGTTTTGTTTTGTTTTGTTTTTTTTTTTTTTTTTGAAACAGGGTCCCACATAGATCAGGCTGGCCTTGAACTCCTGATGAAGCTGAAGATGCCCTTGAACTCCTGATCCTCCCCCTTCCCTCACTCAGTGTTGGGATTACAGTCTGTCCTGGCTCCATCTGTTCCTGCCAAATGAGCAGCATCTGGTATTGAAGACACATCTGGATACTAGTGGCATTAAATCGTTTAACCCACTTAATCCTTTCTGTCAGCCTGAGGCAGGCCCTGCCACATCCTTTTCCAGACAGAAACATACTATGGCAGCTGTGCTACAGTAACAATCAATAGCCATCATGGTGACTTAAATCCAAACTGTATCATTCCAAACAATGTCTGACTTTGTTTTCTGTGCTGGAGATTGAACTGAGAGCCTCACACACCCCAGGGAATCACTCCACCATGGAGGCCACATGTTCTTTGTGTAGCCCTGGTCATCCTGGAACTTGTTTTGTAGACCAGGTTAGCCTCCTGAGTGCCAGGATTAAAGGAATGCACCACCACCACCCAGCTCAGACCAGATTCTTAACCTTCAAATTATTTTAGGAATTTGGAAACATAAAAGTACACATTCTGGGGGCTGGAGAGATGGGTCAGAGGTTAAGAGCACTGACTGTTCATCCGCTTTGAGATCTGCTGGCGACTTCTGGTGTGCACATATACATGGAAGCAGAATGCTGTATACATAATAAATAAATAAAATCTTAAAAAAAAAAAAAGTACACATTCTGCCAGGTGTGGTTGTCAGATGTGGTGGTACATACCTCTAATCCCAGCACTCAGGAGGCGGAGGCAGGTGGATTTCTGTGAGTTCGAGGCCAGCCTGGTCTACAAATCGAGTTCCAGGACAGCCAGAGTTACACAGAGAAACCCTGTCTTGAAAAACAAAAACAAACAAAAGTACACATGCTTTAAAATGCAATACTCATTGCACAGTGAACCATTCCATAACTACAATACTATGAAACCCATACAGCAGCAGTTCTCAATCTGCAGGTCAAGACCCCTTTGGGGGGGTGGGGCCACCTTAGCCCATCAGAAAACACAGATATTTACATTATGATTCATAACAGTAGCAAAATTACAGTTACAAAGTAGCACCAAATATAATTTTATGGTTGGAGGTCACTACAACATGAGGAACTGTATTAAAGGGTCACAGAATTAGGAAGGTTGAGAACCACTGCTATAGTGGCAAGACATGTTCAGAACCAAAGAGGTATAAATTAAGGAAGCCTTGTAGTAACAAAATCTAAAAGTTACTATCTATCAAGTCTGGTAGTATACACCTGTAACACTAATACTCTGAAGACACACTGTCTTGAGTTGAAGGCTAGCCTGGGCTACACAGTGATTCATAGGCTAACTTGGACTATGGAATAAGACTTGGCTTCTAAAACAAAAAGTAAATTAAAAAATAAATATAAATGTTGGAGAGATGACTTGGTAGGTAAACGTCCTTGCTGTGCAAGGACTGCTGACCCAAGTTTATGTCCAGATCCAAAGGTGGGAAGGAGAGAACTGTGTCCTGAAAGTTCGCCAGTTTCTATACATCTAAGACAATGAACCCCGTGCTTGCTTTGGCAGCACAGACACTAAAACTGGAATGGTACAGGGAAGATCTGCACGATCCCAGGGCAAGGATGACACCTATTGTGCAAGGTTCCCTTAAAAAAAGAAAAAATAGCCGGGCGTTGGTGGCGCACGCTTTTAATCCCAGCACTCGGGAGGCAGAGGCAGGCGGATCTCTGTGAGTTCGAGACCAGCCTGGTCTACAAGAGCTAGTTCCAGGACAGCCTCCAAAGCCACAGGGAAACCCTGTCTGGAAAAAAAAAAGAAAGAAAAAAGAAACCCCCACACAGGAAGCAGTCTACCCCATAGCTCAGCCTCCTACATGAGAATCTGCCAGTGAGGCTCTGGACTTGATCCCCAGCAGGGGAAATAATCTGTCTGAGGGGTTCAGGAGGCCTCCATCCCCTTTAATGTGAGTCACACTTACCTGATGTCCTGTGTTGGGAAGACCTCAGGTTTTACTTGCACCCTGAGGGGCACCCTCTGCTCTGCCAGCCAGGTGGCATACTTCATAGCAGCCTGTTCATCTCCGCCGGCCACTGCCCGGGCGAGGCTCAGGGCCATCTCCTCTGCTGAAGATCAGCATAGAGCAAGCAGGTTAGCACCAGTTTACTTAGGGAGGCTGGGGAGGTCTCCCTAGCAAGTCATCTACCACACCTGGCTATTTTAAGTCCTTTTGGGGGGAGGAGGTGGTGCTTTTTTAGTCTTCACTCCCTTGCACACTGGACTCATGGGGTGCCCTTTTTCTCTCATGTTCAGAGTCCCCCATACTTTTCCATTCGTTTATCTGACAAGCATTTCTTGGAACTCTACTGTATGCCAGCCGTTAGTCCAGAAAGTGGAATCTAACAGTGGTTAAGACGAATAGGGTTCTTCTCCCCATGAATCTCTACTTTAAGGTTTGACAAGATAATCAGGCTGTGGTCCATTCTAGCAATAACTGAGTAAGAAGGCTAGGGAAAACCTCTAGGAGGTGAGGGAAACTGAGGCCTGAATGAGGGGTTGCTGGGCATTCCAATATGCAATAAGGAAGACTGTTTCAAGAGGCCAGAGAATGGCCAAAGTCCTTGGGCAAGAAGGGGTTGGTTCAGAACAAAAAAGCCAAGGACTGGAGGCATATCTCAGTCGTATGGCACTTGCCTTGCATGCATGAAGCCCCAGATTCAATCCGCAACAGGAGACAGCACAGAGGAGACAGGCGGGAGTGAATGAATGCAAGGAAATGGGAGCGGTCAGTAAAGGTGGCCCAGAACCCTGGCTTGGTTTTATTAGGGCAGGGTTCCCAGCAAACAGACAGTTAACACTATCGATGTTCGCCCAAATCTGGGTGGAAGGGCAAGGGATAGAGGCATATAATGTTCCCTACCCGCCTTACTCTGGTTAACTGCAATCTGTTTCCCTAACAAGCAGAAGTTCTCCAGGTTCGATGTTCTGTGTCCACTGAGTCTCCCCAGCACAGACCCAGCCCAGGGCCCATTTACACCAGCTGCAGTCGGTGCCCACCTTTCTTGGTCTTCTCGTCCATCTGGCCTGGCTGCGCCCATCCCCTCAGAAAGGGCTGCTGCTCCCGGGAAATGCTACCTCGGGGTCACCTGGGAGAGGGCGGGAGGACAGCAGCGATTCAGCCCTAGCCGGCCTCGCGCGTGGCCCAAGCGGTGTTCCGGGACGCACTCGGGCAGCATTACACTGCCCAGGGCCCAAGGCCCGGCATTGGGAGCCGGTGGAGCCCCGCGAGGGACACAGAAAGCCAAGTCCGCAGTGGGCGATGGGTCACCACGACCCAAAAGCGCGGGCGCCCCAAGGTCCGGAACCCCAGCCCCGCAGCTCGCGCTACCCGGAAGACAGAGAGGGCTGCATCCCCGGAAGAGAAAGTGAAAGTGGCAGCCCCGGAAGTGCAGCAGACCGAACGGAAAACTGTCCCTCATCCGAGATTGTGCAGGCTCACCGGCTATTGCAGGCGTCTACACTGTCCCCGGCACTTACGCTCCACCACATGGTCCCGCAGACCAGGGACACTAGGTCCCGGTGCTCACGATCGCCCCTCGGCTGAGCACCGACTCCAGCCAGGGCCTGCCGCTGGGGGGTGGGGTGGAGGGCGGGGTCTGGAGGGCGGAGGGCGGGGTTTGGAGGGTCAGCAAGTGGGCTCCTCAGTGCCCGCGGTCCTCAGGAGCTGCCCTTGCCAGCGCTGCCCCCCGCTGGTGCACAGCCAGCAGGCTCGCACCATCTCCGGGTAGCCAGGTTTTTGGGCCCGTTTTCAGTTGAGGAAACAGAGGGTTTGAATGTTTAGGGCTTGCCCAAAATCACACTGCTGGGGTTTGAATCCAAACGTGGCAGTCTCCAGAACTCACCTTGGCAGCCTGGAGACTTGTCTCTTGTATTCGCCTAGCAAAGGCTGGGAAATCTTTTCAGCCTCCACTTATTTTACATTTTCTCCCACTTTTCACCCCACAGATTAGCAAATACAGTGGGCCCCACCTGCAAAATGGATAACAAATTCATCCTCTCCTGTGCCCAGATCTCATCCGGCCGGCCCCTCGTCTGTCTGTTTCCCCTCAGATGCCCTCGGGGATCCTGTTAAAATATAGATAATAGAGTAGGGAATTAGATGCTTGCTTCCTGTACAAGCCTTAGGACCTGAGTTCAATACTCAGTGCCCCCTAAAAAACAGGGAATAGTAGTGGGAGCTTGTAAACCGGCGTCTGAAAAGGAAGACAGGAAGATCCCTGGGGTTCCCTAGCCAGCCAGGATAGCCTAACCAGTGCAGACCCTGTCTCAACAAGATGGATGGTACCCCACAGGAACATGGACACACACACACACACACACACACACACACACACACACCCCCCCCCCCAAAAAAAAAAAAAAAAAAACACGCATGAACACTTTTCCACATGCCCCTGGATTTTTGCCTGAATTTCCCACTATCTCCCTCTCCTTGGCTCACTGCACACTGAAGTGCTAGCTCTGGAATCCTGGAATAAATTAGTTGGCCAAGTTTGAAAGCTTCTGTTTTAGAATTTTCCATCCCCAACAGGGAAAGTTTGTAAATCCCAGCACTTGGGAGGTGGAGGTAGGTGACTCTGGAGAGAGAGGGGAGGAGGAGAGGAGAGGAGAGGGAAGAAAAAAAAGGAAGGAAGGAAGGAAGGAAGGAAGGAAGGAAGGAAGGAAGGAAGGAGGAAGGAAAGGAAGGAAGGAAGGAAGGAAGGAAGGAAGGAAGGAAGGAAGGAAGGAAGGAAGGAAGGAACTTCCACTTGAGGCCTTCTAGTAAATATTCTTGGGTTTTGACAGAAAATCTTTGTTTATACCTCCCCTAATCCTAAAATTCTAGGCATAAATATCATACTCAGATTGTTTTGTTTTTGAGATAGGGTCTTACTGTGTAGATCTGAACAGTTTGGAATAGGCTTTGTAGGCCAGGCTGGCCTCTAACTTGTGTAATTGCTGGGCCATGGTGGCAAACACCTTTAATCCCAGCACTCCAAAGGCAGAGACAGGTGGATATCTGTGAGTTTGAAGCCAACCTGGTCTACAGAGCTAGTTCCAGGACAGCTAGGGCTGTTACACAAGAAACCCTGTCTCAAAAAATAATAATAATAATTTGGAAAAACAAAAAAGAAAAAAGAAAAAAAACTTGTGTAATCCCCCACCCCTGCCTACCACATGCTGGGATACAGGAGCCCACCACAGCTTTTGTATTTTGTTTTTTCTTTTTACAATTTCTGCATCTTTTCCTCTGAGTGCTTTTAAGAATATTTTAAACTTTTTCTTTTACATTTTGACTCTGCTGTATCTGTGAAATGTTCTTGAATTTGTGATATTTGATTTCTCCCTAACTCCCTCTTTAACCTGCTGTTCAACTCATCATTTGGACTTTGATTTTTGTTTGTTTTGTTTTTTTAATTTTGGGATATAACTTTGGTTGGACTGAAACTAACATACAGACTAGGCTGGCCTTAAACTTGTAGTAACCCCCTGCCTCTGCTTCCAAGTGCTGCCATTATAAGTGTGTGCCATTTGAAATTAATTGTATGTTTTTTTTCTAAAATATCTGGTAGATTGTCTTCATATCATTGCCACTTAGTGAAATTTCCAATAGTTCCTAGCTTTTTGTTTATCCATTTACATACAATAACACTTTTGTTTCTGTGCCAGATACCAGGTCAGCTCTGAGTGTCTGTGTCTGAGGGTTTGCATTCCAGTTGCCTTATTTTTCTACTGTGGACCTGTAGATTTTTGCATAATGGTGTCCCCATCAGCCCTGATATCATCTGCAAAAATTAGTTGGGAAGGGCAGATGCAATCCTCATTTTATTTATTTTTTTTGGCCTTAGACTTCTCCCTTTAAGGGGCAAGCTGGCATTCACTTGGGATGCCTATGACATCAGTGGGTAGACTGAAACCCAAATTCCCAATCAGGATGACAGTTCCATGTCTGTGTGACCCCAAACAAGAGACTCCCTACCTCTGGGTCTCAGTTTCTTCCTCTGTACATTGATGTCATGGCAGCTCTCTTCTCCCCAGCTATTGTAAGGATCTATATAAATTACCAGTTACTGATATGTATCACATTATATTACCCCAAAGTTAGTAGACAGGGCCTGGCATCGTGGCACACACCTTTAATCCCAGCACTCAGGAAGTAGAGGCAGGTGAATCTCTGTAATTTCTACGCCAGCCTGGTCTACAAAGCAAGTTCCAGGACAGCCAGAGCTGCTACAAAGAGAAACCCTGGCTTGGAAAACCAAAAACAGTAGACAGAACATGGTGGCACACATTTGTGATCCCAGGACTCTCAAGGTGGAAGCAAGAAGATCACAGACTTAGAGCCAATTTGAGCTATTTATTTTGACACTCTCTCAAACAAACACCCAACAATAAACATTTATGAGGGTCAGGAACAGAAAACCACTTCTTGTATGGTTCTGGCTTGATCGTGGGCTACAGGCTAGTTTTCAGGCAAACCCCCTTCCTCATGAGCTTGTGTGCACATAGATCTCTCCACAAGGCTAATTACTTGCCTTCATCAAACGGCAGCAGGCTGTCCCCAGTGCAGGTGCCCCAGGAGAGGGAGGCAAAAGCAGAGCCAGAGCCTCATGAATGCTGGGTAGGTGAGCACTTATTGCCAAGCTATATTCACAACCTAATATATATATTTCTTTCCTTCCGCCCCTCCTGTCTTCTTTCCTTCTACTAGTCCCCATGTTTTTTTGTTTTTGTTTTTTAAGACAGAGTCTGAGCCAGAATGATGGCTCAGTAGTTAAGAGAGCTTATAGAAAAAGAATTCTGTTCTAGGCACCCACATTAGGCAACTCACAATTGTTTGTGATTCCAGTTCCAAGGGACCCTATTCCCTCTCGGGCCTCCATGGGTCCCTACATACTCACACACACACACACACACACACACACACACACACACACACACACACGTTTTTATATAAATATATTTTTATTATTAGCCACACATTTTCTGCTTCTCCCATCAATAACAAATCTATTTTTCTGCCTTCCACACTAAGCTATCTGACACGCACAGCGTGGGCGTCAGACTCCCTTATGTTTTGAACCCCGAGACTACCACATGGCATGATCGCTGAGCCTGTGAAGGATGCTCAAAGCCTGCATAAGATGTTTGCTGCAGAATCATTTGCTGCTCACATACTTCCTTCAGGCTATTGCCAGGGAGAAGCCATAGGACCATTCTGGGAGTATGGGGAATAATTAGATACACTTTCTGGAAGTTTCTTAAGAAAGAGCTGTAGAAACAGCATATGCTTCCTGACAGATGATGCCAGGTCCTGTTTGTTCTGAATACTTTGTTGGTGCTGGGAAGAGGACTCAGAGCTTAAAATGTTTGTACACACGTGAGGACCCTCATGCAGATCCCCAGAACCCACACAAGTGCCTTAGAAGGTAGAGATGGGATCCCCAGAGCAAGCTGGCTGACAAGACTAGCCATATCAGAGAGATCAGGGTTTACTTGAGAAACCCTACTCATCCAGGCTGTGATGGTGCATACCTTTAACCCCAGCAACACTTGGGAGTCAGAGGCAGGCAGATCTCTGAGTTCAAGGCCAGCCTGGTCTACAGAACTCCAGGATGGCCAGAGAAACACAAAGAAACCCTGTCTCGAAAAGGAAAACAAACAAAAAACTATGATTCAGGATATCTACCTCCAGCCTCTGCATGTATAGGCATATCTATGCACATATCACACACATACACACACACACACACAAACAAACAAACACTGTTCTCTGCCTTCCCAGATGAAGAGCCTGAGGTATAGATTGGCTAAGAAATTTGTTTAGGACCCAACAGCTGGTGTGTTCTGGATTTGGGGCAGCCTGACTCTCAAGTACTGAGCTCTTAAGAGCTACAATGCCACTTTTATTTGTGTGACACACATGCCAGCTGCCTCCATGGAAAACAGCCAAGGACTGAAGGACTGAAGAATGCAGACATCCCGCCAACGTCTTGGAGTGTCCCGCGCGTGCTCTGTATTTCTCGCCAGCAAGAAATCATACACGGGACACTCGGATCCTTCTGCAGACAAGCTTTAATGCATCTTGAGAGGAGAGCATAAGCTTCCCAGAGCAGAGACACTAAACTAAGAAAACCATCCCTTATAAAGGCTGACCAGCCGCCTGGGACGTGTTACCCTATGAATGGCTTTAGCTCCTCAGGCCAAAATGAGCCACGGGATAGGCAGAGATCAAAGGAATGGAGATTACCCAGCGCTTGTGAAGTAATTTACATCTTGGTGTCTTTAGGCACCATTATAATGCAGGAAAACGGCTTCCTACATTGGAGAGCCAGGTTGACCTGCCCTAAAACCACCCTGTTCAGTGACCTATCTTTATGCAAATGTTACCTCCTGTTTAAGCTGACCCTCCCCTTAGGCTGAGGATGCAACCCACACCCCTGAGCACGTTAGATGTGCACTTACATCTGAGCCACACCCACCCTCAGCTCAGAAAGCTCCTCACATGAGACCGGAGGTCTCCAGAAGAAACGGCATGGACAGGAAGATCAGTGAAGGAATCTTGTCACAAACCACTTGGTTGGGGTTGAGATACATCTGGCTTTCGTGTTGCTGCCAGTGTCAAAGGCAGGGAAAATCACAAAGGATGGTAGAAGGTAGAACTCTGGCATATAGAACTATTTCACAATTCTCTTTTATTAGGCACATGGTGAAAATACCTATCAACTGAAGAAAAGCCAGCATACTGACAGTGGGCCTTGGGTACTAGGAGTCCCCATAACAGGGCCTGAGACTTTCTGTATGGCATTAGGACCATCCCTATCTTGTCCTTTCCTCTCCAACTGTGGAGCTCCAATTAGAGGCCACCAGGGTGAAGGGACCTGAACCCTCATTCCCTGAGGTGGATGTTTGCTTCTTTGGAGTCTCATCCTTTTGTCTTGACTCTTGGGCCAAGCCTTCAAGCAGGTTTTCCTGCCTGGAGGGGTGGATGCAAGTGGCACAATTCCAGTCTTGCCTGACTTGTGGTCCTGAGGCACAGGGTGAGTGAGGCCTTTGGTCTTTGGCACAGAGATGCTCCCTTTGTTTAAAGTGCAAGATACAAGGCATCTGGGGCACCAATGAAGAGGACTGTCCTGTGAACAGAAACCTAGCCCCAGAAGGCCAACTCTGGTATGAAATGTGCCCAGCGTGGATGCTGGCCTGGGAGTATATGACACTGTGGCAACTCAGCCAGCAAGGTATCCCCCACCCCAAGCCAGCTCTTTGCTGTTCACAGTACCTAGAATAGGGCTTGGCACCCAGGGAGCATCACCCCACAATGCCTGTGGGAGAGCATAGAATCCATGAGGCACAGTGGCTGTTTCTTCCTCCTTAAAGGCACTTAAGGGTTAGCTCGGTCCAAAGAGTCAGGAGAAAGCTTGGAAATAGGTACTCAATTCACAGCTTGCAGCTGAGGGGCCAGTAGGGTAGCCCTAACCATACAGCCCCAACTCGCCTTCCTCAGTCTCCTCCAGTCCTGGTCCATCTGGGACCACCTGGTCAGTCTCCCAGTGGCTAGTCTGTGGAGGGGAGACAAGGCTGTGGTCCTCCTTCAACCAGGGATGCAGAAGGATGCCCGGGGCCACTAGTCGCTGTGAAGGTTCCTTTCGAAGGAGACATCGGATCAGGCATCGGGCTGGGGCTGATAGGCCTTCAGGCAGGGCAAAGGTCCCTCTACGGATCTTGCCAAAGAGCAAAGCCGGCTCAGAGTCCTGGAACGGGTAGTGACCAGCCAGCATAGTGAACAGTGCCACGCCCAGGCTCCAGATATCAGCTGCTTTGCCAGAGTAGGATGGTCGGGAGCTGAGTATCTCTGGTCCCACGTAGGCAGGGCATGCATGCTTGTCCCACAGAGAGTCGTCTGGTCCAGTTATCACACAAGCATCCTCCAGGTTCTCCAGCACCAGCCTCGTCCTGGGTCACAGACAGAAAGATCAGGTCTTGCTCAGGTCCTCTGGAAGAGCAGCCACTAAACCATCAATCCAGCCCTGTCTTTGTTTTTTAATCGGGGTTTTCTTTTGGGGGGGTGTTATTGTTTGGAGATAAGATTTCACTACATTGTCCTGGCTAGCTTCTAACTTACTATCCTGTGTCGACCTCCTGAGTGCTGGGTTTACAGCAGTGGGACATCATGCTGAGCCGCAATGTTTTAGTAATGTTTTTGTTTGGTTTGGCTCAATGGGTCAGGGTCTCTCTGTGTAGTCCTGGCTGTCCTGGCACTCACTATGTAGACCAGGCTAGCCTCGAACTCACAGAGATTTGCCTGCCCGGCACCCCAAGGGGCTTCCATAACACTGAGTCAAATTTGTCAAACTAGAGAACTAGGTTGTGAATGCTAAGTTAGGTTCCATCCCTTTCTTCTTTTTAATTTTTATTTTATTTTTGTCAGATTTGTGTGTAGTGTCTGTGTGTAGGGCAGGGGTGTGTCCATTTGGAGACCAGAGGTCAACTTTAAGTGTCTTCCTTAATCTTTCTCCACGCCTTTTCTTTCTTTCTTTCTTTTCTTTTCTTTTTTTTTTTTTTTTTTGAGACAGGGTTTCTCTGTATAACAGTCCTAGCTGTCCTGGAACTCACTCTGCAGACCAGGCTGACCTCAAATTCACAGACTCTTCTGCCTCTGACTCCCAAGTGCTGGGATTAAAGATGTGCACCACCACTGCCCAGCTTTTTTTTTAAAAAAGATCTGTTATTATTTTTTATCCAAGTGGGTGTTTTGCCTGTGTGCGTGTCTGGGGACCATGAGCATTCGGTGCCCACAGTGGCAGAAGAGGTTGTCAGATCCCCTGGACTTGGAATTACAGATGGTTGTTAGGACCATATGGGTGCTGGGAACTGAACCTGGGTCCTCTGCAAGAGCAAAAGCACTTTAACCATTGAGTCATCCCTCCCACCCTTCCCTTCCCCAATAGGCACCGTGTGTGTGTGTGTGTGTGTGTGTGTGTGTGTGTGTGTGTGTGTGTGTGTGAGAGAGAGAGAGAGAGAGAGAGAGAGAGAGAGAGAGAGAGAGAGGATCTCACTACATAGCCCTGACTGTCCTGGAACTCACTATGTATGCTAGGCTGGCCTCCAGCTCACTGAGATCCACCCGTCTCTGCCTCTCCCAGGACTTAAAGTGTGTGCTAGCACCCCCAGCTATTCCTTTTTTACTTATTTAACTTGAGACAGAGTCGCTCACTAAACCAGGAACTCACCAATGGAATAGACTAGCTGGCCGGAGATCTCTGGGGAATCTGCCTGTCTCTGCCCCTCTTCCCCCATGCCCAGCGTTAGGGTTACAGACTCCACACCACAGGCCACTATCACTCAGTGCTGGGGATTTCTTTGCCTGTCTAGTTTTTGCTGCCTAGGATGGAATCCAGAGCCTTGCACATACTAAGCTCGTGTTTTACCACCATGCTACACCTTAGCTCTTCCTGCCTGTTACTCTGTCCTCGCCGACCTCAGCTTTCCTGCCACGGCCCACTTCTCAAATGTACCTCTGGGGTCACACTTACCTCTCACGGTTGCTGAAGACAAAGCGACACAGCTTGAGGTCACGCAAGACAAGCCCATGTTGGTGGCAGTGTGCCACCATAGCAGCCATCTGCCGGAAAAGCACAATAGCCTCGGGCTCGGGAATACCGCGGCGGCTGCGCACCAGGCTGTGCAAGTCCCCATGGGTCTTCGAGAAGAAGGTGTAGAGGAACTGAGAGCCCAACAGGATGTCTGCGGGATGGGCCACGTGCTGATGGGTAGGCAGCCGTGCATAGGGTGCCAGCACCTCCCGGGCCTCACAGGCTGGGTACACCTGGGGACAGAGCCAGGTGTAAGCACAGCTAAGGGACCTGGGAAGCCTAGCTGGCCTAGCAAAGGAGGACAGCCAACCATCACACACGCTGTGAGCTACACACACAGGGGGCGCTGCTTAGCAAGTCACTCACAGCCTGACATCAGCCAACTTTGGGCAGGCCACACTGGGGCCACAAGGCCAGCAAGTAGCCCATTTGGGACTAGAATTGGTGCACCCATCTCTGTGCTCTAAACTGACACCCTGTGTGACCTTATGCCTCAGAGAACTGAAACCAAATAGAAAATCCCTCCTGGGGGCAGACCACCACCAAAGCCCCCCTCACAGCCGGCTCAGTAACCTTTCTGCAGCCCCTGCTCAGCTGATAGGACTCAGCATTGCCCTGTTTGTGTGATGTCCATGGTGCAGCACAAGCAAGCCCAGAGATCACGTCTTTCAAAGGAACCAAGAAAGAAGCTAGAATCCAGAATACTTTGTTTTTCAGTCTTGGAAATCAAAGCCAGGACCATTCTTTGCTAGGCAAGTGTGAGCTAATATTTTGGAAGGGAACACTTATTTTAGAAAGTTCTGGCCTGCCATGGTGGCATGCACCTTTAATCTCAGCACTTGAGAGGCAGAGGTAGGTGGATCTCTGTGAGTTTCAGGCCAGCCTGATCTACAAAGTCCCAGGCTTGCCAGAACTACACAGTGAGATTGTGTCCAACGTGTGACCCCAGGATTCAGAAGGGACCTGAATAATCCAAATACCTTGGGGACCAGGAAAGTTTCATTAAGAAATATCTGGAGGTACAAACCTCCGGTTCAGCTCCGGCCTACAATTGTATTGCAGATTCGAGCTAATCTGTTGAATGACATTTGGCCTCAGTGGTGAATGTCCCCTAGTTTGCATCTCTACATAACTAAGCATTTGAATAGGCCTGCACCTGGGCAGAAGGCTAGGTGTGTAAGTAAGGGCAGAGAGTTAGGAGCCATCTAGCAGAGAGATCAACTGAAGGAGATAGAAATGGCCTCGTGGCCTTGGAAGCATGGTTAGATAACAGACAGGAAGATGTCCAATAAACAAGAGACTCTAGTTTTACAACATGGAACTGAGAGCTCTCTAAAGATGACAAGATGCCTGTGTTTGGTCTTTATTGCCATTGGGTTGCTAGGAGTTTCCAAGTCTACTCTTCCAAGTCCACTCAGGCCGAACCTCAAGTCTACCGTGGCTTGGGGCTGAGACATGCCGGGCTATGCCACAAATACAGCCATGGGAAAAACTTCCCAAATTGGGGGCATTTGGGAAATGCATTCAGAGTTTGTGGACATTAAGCACTTGAAGGAACCGGCTTCCTTTTGGCAGCCATAACAGCCGAACACGTGCTTGCCATAAACCTGCCTTGGTCACTTAGAGGTCAGATGCCTGTCTTGTGACAAGGAACCAATCAGACGTTAGCCGGTGGCGCTATGCTTTACGACCCTGGGTGTGCTTTACGGACAAGCGCACGACAATGACGTAGAGAGCATAGCAACCACCCTGGGAGGGCCTATGGGCCATAACAACCAGTTGCCCAATCAACACAGGGCAAGCCCTCCAAGCCTGGACTCAGCCCCATCATGAGCCTGTGCGTACCCCGAGACACTCCCCTTACGCTGCCCTATAAGCTCTTTTGGGAGACCGAAGGAGCCGTTTTTTCTCGCCATCCGCCATGGCGGGGGGGTGAAAGACCCGAGCTAACATGGGGTTATTTCGTTAAATTACAATAAAGCCTCATGCAGTTTGCATCAAGCTTTCGCCTCCATTCTGTGTTTGGGGTGGCCGCCGTCCTGGGCTAAGATTCTGGAAGCCTCAGCTTTCTGAGGGTCTAACACACTCACCCGGAAGGTGGGTCCAGTATTATGGAGAATGGAACCGAAGTTCGGGGAAAGGGGGGTGACTTGTGGGAAGCCACACTGGACCCTGTTAGAAGCTGGCTATTGCAGAGCTGATATAGCACTTTGTTGCTTTTGACTGTAATATAGTTATTCTATGAAAACGTCAAATGTGATCATTAATATAAGGCGAGAGGCTGGAGAGATGAGTCAATCAGTGGTTAAGAGCACTGATTGCTCTTCTAGAGGACCCAGGTTTGATCCCCAGCACCCACATGGTAGCTCACAACTGTCTTTGTTTTGTTTTGTTTTGTTTTTCAAGACAAAGTTTCTCTATGTAACAGTCCAAGCTGGCCTTGAATTCATTGAAATCTGCCTGCCTCCTGAGTGTGTGACCAGTGCCCGGCTCACAATTGTCTCTTAACCCCAGTTCCAGGGGCTCTGGACATACACCAAGCAAAATACCCATATACATAAAACAATAAATTTTTAAAAAGCTACGGCAACATGGAGGAAATAAATGTACATACTACTTTTTCTTTCTCCTCCAAAGCCTGGCCCTGCCTAGTATCATCTTTGTACCTCTTTATTTTTTTAGAGAGGGGGTAAGCTTTTTGAGACATCTTTCTATGCCTCCCTGGCTGTCCTGGAACTCACTATGTAGACTAGGCTGGCCGCCCACTCACAGAGATACACTTGCCTTTGCCTCCTAAGTGTCAGGATTATAGGTGTCGCTACAGTGGGCCCTCCTCCCCATGCCTCCTTCAACTTCTGACAGGCACTGTCCTTTGTCGTCTGGAAGCCCCGCCCCCCCAGACTTCCCCTGCACTCCCACATGTCTGCCTCCTTCTCTCTCAGCTTCTGGCTCCCCACTGGCACCAGCTTTATTCCCATGATGCTCATCATTGCCTGTTCTCATCTGGTGTGTGCACCTGTGCAAGCCAGAGGAAAACCTTAGGTGCCATGCAATTTCTTTCTTGAAGTTTATTTTCAATCCTGTGTGCCTGTCTGTCTGTGTATGAATGTATGTGTGTACATGAGTGCAGATGCCTGAGAAGGCCAGGGTTTCCCTGGAGCTGGAGTTGTATAGGTGGTGGTGACTTGCCTCAAGTGGATGCTAGGAACAGAACTTGGGTCTCTGCAAGTTACAAACACTCTAAGCCACTAAACCATGTCTCTAGCTCTTTTATTCATTCTCTCTCCTCTCTGAGATAGAATCTCTCACTGACCGCGGAACTGACTCACTAAATAGGTTAGCTGGCTGACCAGTGAGCTCTGGAGGTCTGCCTGTCTTCACTTTCTCAGTGCAGGATTACAAGTATGCTTTCTCTTTCCCCCATCTCCTCCTCTCTCTCTCTCTCTCTCTCCCTCCCTCCCTCCCTCCCTCTCTCTCTCTCTCTCTCTCCCTCCCTCCCTCCCTCCCTCTCTCTCTCCCCCACCATGCAGATTCCGAGGCTCACCAGCTGTTTATATCATCTCTCCATGACTCTCACTAGAATGTCAGTTTGATAGCAGGAGCATTGGGACTAAGTTTTTTTTTTATTTTTGAAACAGACTCTCAGTATGTACCTCAGGCTATCCTGAAATTTGAGGCAATCCTCCTGTCTCAACCTCTCCAGTGCGCTGGGATTTCAGGCATGTACCACCACACCCTGCTTGGGTCTGGTTTTTGGCCATAGCTGGTGCACTGCTGGTGCACTGCTTGAATGATGTCCTATGAAGTTTTGTCAGTTGAGAAGCCCAGTGATAATCTGCAAAACCAGAACCCTGCAATCCTCTGGGTCCCAGTCCTTTTGCAGGGTCCTGGGATGCTAGGGGGAGGGTCCACAGATCATACCTTGCAGGTGTACTGTGTGCCTGTGGGGCAGTGCAGGGCCCGGTAGGTGTGGCTGCCTTGCTCTTGTTCCAAGAGGACATAAGGTCCCAGTCGGGTTGCAGGGGCCACAGCAGGTGACAAGTCTGAGGCAGGAGGTGGACTCGGGGACAGCAGGAAGCAGGGTGGCCCAGGTTCGGGTCCTCTCGCTCGTTTTAGGACTGTACTTTCGGCATCAATGTTGCCATCGAACTCCAACGGTTTCTTCCGGCAGGGGACACCAGCAGAAGCAACCAGAGGGGTGGCTCGCATCTAGAGAGATGGGAAGAAAGACTGTTTGGTAACCCCTGTTTTACCTGCTAGGACCCTCTCGCAGAGAATCATCACCCTGGGTTTTCCGAAGCTCCCGAGCCACGGCGTTCTCAAACTTAGTAATAATTCAGTAAGGAAAGCTGGGCATACTGGCACATCCATGCACTGCCAGCGTCGGGGAGGCAGAGGCAGGGGGATGGCTAGTTCCTGGCCGGCCTGGGATGCATAATGACTGCAACCGCTTAGTCCCAGGGCGCTCCCAGCCTTCGGAGTTAGAGAGCGAGAAAGCGAGAGTGAGAGAGAACGAAAGAGAGAGTCCGGAGAGAATATGCACACGAATATTCATAAATATGTTCGGACTTCCAACATCCTTGCCAGACTCGGGGAAACAACCCCGCCGCCCCCCATTTGCGGCTCCCCACCCGGTACCTTGTCCTAGGGTTCCTCACGGGTCTCAGAGCCGCCTGCCTGCGCCCGTGCACCGCAGCCCGCTTCACCCAGACGATCTCGGGGTCCCCAGCACGTTCGTGCCAGACCTCAGCCTCCGCGGATTCAGCAGTAGCGGCTTCCGCTGCTAAAATGCTTCGGCATGGGGACCCGGGCTCTCATCCCCGCCTGGCTGATGTAAACCTGAGCTAATCTCCAGCTGACGCCCTGCGGTTTTGGATTGCACCATCCACGACCCGCCCCTGTAGCCGAGCGAGCGTGCTCCGCCTGCGCCTTCGGGCCACTCGCCCCCCACCCCCGCTTAGCCCCCTGAAGTAGTACCCAGAACCACCAACTCTCCTTACCGTAGTTCTTTACACCTATTTCCCCATATATGAGATGGGAATGAGATCCTAGTGAAAAACAAAAAACAAACGGAGGCTGTTTAAAAATCGCGTGCCACCCTACTAAGCCCCGAACTTGACCTGGGCAAGAAGTCCCACGTTCTGAATGCTGGGAACCTCCCCTCCAAAATAACCCTATCAAGTGCTCACCCCGCTCTGCTCAGACTCGTGTTGCAGCTCAGAAAAGCCACTTAGCGCCCTGGCTGACTGGGGGTGTGGCTCTGTGAGAGCACTTGCCTACCACGCTTAAGTTCCTGCTCTGTAACAAAGCCAAAAACAACCAAAGAAAAGGTAGCGTCAGTTCCCTTCTCCATAAACAGAGGATTTGGAACGGTGCTCTCTTCGTATAGTTGCTGTGAGCCGTAGTAAGTTCGTGAATGCAAAACGCTTAGATGAGCTGGGTGTGATGCACACCTGGAACCTCAGTTACTCGAAAGCCTGAGTCAGGAGGATGGTCAGTTTGCCCGTGTAGCTCTAACTTGCTTGGAACTCACTCTGTAGACCAGGCTGATCTCGAACCCATAGAGATGCCCCTGTCATGAAAAACAACAACAAAAAATTGTGGCTGGGGAGATGGCTCACAGGTTAAGAGCACTGGCTGCTCTTCCAGGTTCAATTCCCGGCACTCACATGGCAGCTCACACCTGTCTGTAACTCTAGTTCCAGGAGATCCAGCAGACATACACACAGGCAAAACACCAATGAACACAAAATAATAAAAATAAAATAACAAAATAAACAACAACAAAACAAAACGTAGAGAAGTATGTGGGATACCAAGGCACTCAGTAACTAGGATGCTGCCCTGGACACTGGAGGTGGACGGATCGAACAAGAGTCCAGCCACAGCTGAAGCTAGACATGGTAGTGACACCTGCCTCCATTCTGCCACCCTGGCAAAGCCCCAAAGGCCCAGTGCTCCTGTCATACTAACTTATGTCTTTATACTTGAGTTCATCCATATCAAAAAAAAGGGGGGAAAAATTCCTCCAGAAAGAGCTAGAGGGAGGCAGGACCAAGACACCTTTGCTTCTCTAGTTCTGGAAGCCAGGGAACCAGCTCTCTTGTGTCTCCCTCTCCCAAATCCGAATACAGCAGAGGATTCTGGGATCTAATTTGCTTCTGCCCACCCGGCCGCTGGGGAGGGATAAATGAACTTATTTTCAGCACCCAAGACAGGTGGAAGACCCCAGAGCTGTGGGAGACAAACGGTGGGGGTTGTTTTCTGTGTACCCACCAGCATCAGGCCTGAGCTAGGTATGCTTGGCATTGCTCACTGCTTGCCCTTCTTCAAATGCTGTGGACCCAAGGTAACTACACTGACCACTCTGCCTCACAGATCTTATTAATAGAAAAATAAGAATAAGAATAACCACAGTAATTTGAAGTAGATCACAGTGCTGGGCGGTGGTGGCTCACACCTTTAGTCCTACCACTCAGGAGGGAGAGGCAGGTGGTCTCTGAGTTAGAGGTCTGCCTGGTCTACCGAGTGAGTTCCAGGACAACTAAGGCTACACAGAAAAACCCTCTCTCAAAAAAAAAAAAAAAGAAAAAAAAAAAAAAAAAAAAGAAAAAGAAAAGAAAAGAAAACACAAAACAAAAAGCCCAACAAATTTTTCAAGATTCGGTAATTGCCAGGATAATCCCAGCAGTAGTTCAAATTCATCTTCTGCTGTATTGCAAGTTTGAGGCAACACAGACCCTGTCTCAAAAAACTTTAAACTTTTTTTTATTTTTAGTTGTTGGGTTTTTTGGGGTTTTTTTGTTTTGTTTTTCAAGACAGGATTTCTCTCTGTAGCTTTGGAGCCTGTCCTGGAACTCATCTGTAAACCAGGCTGGTCTTGAGCTCATAGAGATCCGCCTGCCTCTGCTTCCTGAGTGCTGGGATTAAAAAGAAATTCACTTTATTTGCCTACTGTTTTTAGTATAGCCTGAACATGTTATCTCAACAAAATTGCCAATAGCATTAAACACTCTCAGAATCTGTTTTTTTTTTTTTTAACTTTCGTTTTATATTTTATATGGTTTGGGTTTTGTTGTTGTTTCATTGAGACAGATTTATATAGCAGAAGTTGGCCTTGGATTTCTAATCCTCCTGCCTATTTCCCCAATGCTCTGATGACAAGTGTGTGTGTCAATGTCAATTTACTGTGGTGCTAGGGACTGGGCATACTAAGTAAGCACTGTGTCAGCCTCCATCTTTTCCCCCATTCCTCCTCTCCTCCAGCTCCCCTCACTACCCCCTCCTCCCATCTGCTCCTCAGAGAGGGTGAGGCCTCTCCTAAGAAGTCTACTAAGTCTGTCCCATCATCTCGTTGAGGCAGGACCAAGGCACCTCTCCACCCCCACACCCCTGTGTCTAGGCTGGGCATGGTATTGAGATAGGATCTCATGCAGCCTACTCGGGCTTCAGATTCACAGTGCTGCTGTGGCTGGCCTGGAACTCTTGGCCCTCCCGCCTTCTTGCATGCTGAGATTACAGGTGCATGCCACCACATTTGGCCTGATTCAAAGGTCTCATTGTGTAATTAGGCTGGTGTCTAACTCTCTGGAGTGCTGAGATTACAGGCATAGGGCAGCACCCCCAGCTCTCTAGTGCGTGTTTTACATTTCTTTTGAATCCAGAGGATCGTGGGAACTAAACTATTAATGGTTCAGCCAGGTATGGTGGCCCGTGCCTGTAATCCCAGGCCTTAGGAGACTGAGACAGGAGGATTGACATAAATTCAGCCTAGGCTATCGAGTGAGTCCTTACCTCCACAAACAAAACAAATGTGGGCTGGCAAGATAGCTCAGCGTGTAAAAGGTGCCTGTCACCAAGGCTGACCACGTGAGTCGGATCCTCAAAACCCACGTGATGAAAAAGAAACCTGTTATCTGACTTCCTCAGCAAACTGTGGCCCACAAATTCCCACACACATATGCACAGAGAAGAAATCTATAAATGTATAGCATACAAGAAAACTAATGAGTTTACTGAGAAAATAAAAATTGGAAGAGAAGGTTGGTATAGGTTAGTGTATTCTCCCATACTGGCACAGTGTCACTGTGTGGGAAAACTAACTCACTGCAGAAGCGTGGCATCTCCTCCCATGTGAGACTCTCGCTCCCCCAGTGCCTTGGGGAGGAAGTCTTACTTCAGAGTTTCTCTGTGTTTCACACCTCTCTCTGAAGAACTGGAGAGCAAAACTGTGACTCTGAGGCTTCAGTCAGAGCTGGATTGAGCTGGGATTGCATAATCTTGTTTTGTTCTGCTGGCATTTATGGTGACCTCTTCCTCCATCAGTTTTTGGGGTTTTGTTTTCTGTAGTGCTGGAGGCCAAGCTGAGGCCTTTTGCGTGTTAGACAGAGGCTCAGTGATTTTTTTTTTCATATTTTGAGATAGAATTTTTTCTTATTTTTATTTTTTATTAATTTATTTTTTACATTCCAATCCCAGTTTCCCCTTCCTCCTCTCCTCCCGCTCTCCCCATTCCCCCCTCCTCCCATCTGCTCCACAGAGAGGGTAAGGCCTCTCCTAAGAAGTCTACTAAGTCTGTCCCAAGGGCTCTTCACTAACCACAGGAGGCTACATCTAGGCAAGAACCTGCCAGTGAGCTTCATGCCTGGTCCTCTCCTTTTCCTACATTAAAAAAAAAAAAATATGAGACACCATCTCACTGAATTATCTACACTGGCCCCTAGCTCAACTGCACAGACAAAGTCAACCTTGAATGTGCTATTCTTCTGCCTCAGCTTCTGGAGTAGATAGGATTATAGACATATGCACAACGCCTAGCTTAAAATGGACATTTATTATTTTTTATGATTATATTCGGTTTTTCTAGACAGATTCTCTGCATAGCGTTGGCCATCCTGGAACTCGATCTGTAGACCAGGCTGGCCTCCAATTCACAGAGATCAGCCTGCCTCTGCCTCCAGAGTGCTGGGATGAAAGGCATGTGCCAGCATGCCTGGCTCATTTTAGTACATCTTCTCCCTTTCTCCGGGGTCTCCTGTGCCATTCCCACAGATCTGTCATCACCCACAGCCTTCACAGGCCGTATCCAGGAGAGGACAAGGACCAGGCCATCAGTGACCCAAGGACCCCATGGAGTGATGAAGGGGGCATGGACCACACCATAGCACGCCTCTGCTGGTCCCTTCCTCTATTTGCTCATGTGATCCTCACCACCACCCCGTGTGCCTGGGAGCAAACTAGTATGAGAGAGTAGGAGGAACTGCCTAGGGAAACGCAGAAGTGGATGAGGCTGAAACCAGGACAGTATGTCCCAAAGCCACAAGCACCTTCCATTTCAGGAGCCTCGTGAGGTGAAGGGAAGATTCCAGGGGAAGCCTCCCAGCCCTCAGCAAGAGTGAAAGAAGGGCTTTGCCCTCCTTCCCTGGATAAGAAGGAGCTAGAAGGCTGCAGGGAAGAGCTGGTCCTGACTGATTTTGTCTGGCTTTGGGTAACCTGGAGCTACTACCAATTCCTCCCTAGGCTCAGCCATACAGTTACTTATAATTCTGGTTCTGTGGTCTCTCTCTCTCTCTCTCTCTCTCTCTCTCTCTTCGCTGTCTCTCGCTGTGTGTGTGTGTGTGTGTGTGTGTGTGTGTGTGTGTGTGTGTGTGTGTAAGGGGCACACTGGGATCTCCAAATTCCCACAGCCACAGCCACAGCCACCACTTGCCTCTCCTAGGACTGAACACACTGCTGAGTCATCTGACCCCTGTTCATCCTTTCTTCCTGTCTGGAGGCAATGGGAGGCCAGAAAAGCAAAGGGATTTTCTGGGTCCTGGCCCCAGCCCAGCCCTTCCCTTTCTGAGAAAAGCTGGGGGAAGGGGAACGAGTGTTCAGTCAGTTGCATCAGAATGCCTTGCACAAGACACTCTCCTGGATAGACACAGCTCTGCCTCCAGCCTCTACCCCACCCTGCTGACCTTGGACCCCAGTGAGAACTGTAAGCTCTCTTGGTAGACCCCAAGACAAGGTGGCCTTCAGAGAGTGACTAAGGGAGGTCTAGCCCTTCAGAAGTGATGGATGGCTGGGTTTGGGGCAGGTGCTAAGATGACCTTGGCTTCCTGGCGATTGCAAGATACATCTCAGGAAAACCAGAGCCCACTCCACCCTTTTTCAAGGGAAAGGGAACGGGGCCATTGTCTTAGGCATTGATTGAGCCCTAATCTTTGGTTCTGGTCATAGACTGAACCCCAAACCAACCCAACTCTGGTGCTAGACACCCTCCTCACAGACAAGAGGACATAGGAATGAGCATCAAGAGCTCAGCACTTGCTCTCTGCCTTGCTATGCACTGGACACACTTTCTGGTCCTGGGATGGCTGGGCAGGTGCTGAGTCGGTTCGGAAAGTACTATCTGGAGCTCTGAGCTTGGGCTGAGTGTGGTTCATCCTGGACTAGAAGCTTCACAGTGCAACCATCTGGAAGGGTTTTTGTTCGGTTTGTGGTTATTGCTGTTGTTTTGTTTGTTTGTTTTGAGTCAGAAGCTCACTCTGCAGACAGGATGTCCTTGAACTAACAGAGATCCTCTTGCCTCTGCCTCCTGAGTTCTTGGATCAGAGATGCACCACTATGGCCGGCTACTTACTTATCCTGAGCTTTAAAAAGTAAAGCAAGCATTCCCCTCACCTTGCAGACCTGTTCACCTCAGCCCGTGTACCTGCCCATTTATAGTCATTTCCTGTTACTCATCCTCAGTGTCCTCTCCTAGAGCCCTAGAGCCTCCTGTTCTTTTCCACAATGACACTTTTTTTTTTTAATTCAAAGTTTATTTTATGTGCATTGGTGTTTTTCCTGAATGAATGTCTGTGTGAGAATGCCAGATCCTCTGGAACCGGAGTTACCGACAGCTGCCATGTGGGTGCTGGGACAATTGAATCTGGGTTCTCTGAAGAGCAGCTGGTGCTCTTCACCGCTGAGCCATCTCTCCAGCCCCATAACGACACTCTTTAAAATTTGTTATTTATTTTTATTCATTCAATTATTTATTTTTTACATTCCCAGCCCTCCTCTCCTCCCCACTCCCCTCAGAGAGGGTGAGGCCTCCCTTAGGAAGTCTACTAAGTCTGTCCCATCATCTTATTGAGACAGGACCAAGGCACCTCCCCCTGCACTCCCCCTCCCCACACCTAGGCTGAGCAAGGTATCTCTTCATATAGATACTGTAATGCACAAAGTCAGTTTGTGCATTAGAGTTAGATCTTGGACCCACTACCAGTGGCTTCATATATTGCCCCAGCTGCACCACTGTCACCTATATTAAGGGAGTCCAGTTCGGTCTTATGCAGGTTCCCCTGTTAGACCCCCGAAAACTCAAGTATCCGGGGTCCCAGGCCAGGTTCGAGGTCACCCCAATCACCAGGCAGATTCGAGAGCTTGCTGCAAACTGCACAAGGCTTTATTGTAATTTAACGAGCTAACCCCATGTTAGCTCGGGTCTTTGATCCACCCGTCATGGCGGATGGCTAGCAAAGACGGCTCCTAGGGTCTCCCAAAAGATCTTATACGGCTGCATAAGGGGAGTGTCTAGGGGTACGCACAGGCTTACACACAGGCTCAGGATTGGTGTGTCTCCAGGCTTGGAGGGCTTGCCCTGTGTTGATTGGTCAACTGGTTGTTATGGCCCATAGGCCCTCCCAGGGTGGTTGCTATGCTCTCTATGTCATTGCTGTGCGCTTGTCCGTAAAGCACACCCAGGGTCATAAAGCATAGCGCCACCAGCTAACTTCCGATTGGCTCCTTGTCACGAGACAGGCATCTGACTTTTTAGTGACTAAGGTTCCTTCACGCCATTTGTCAGGCTGGAGTCAGTGGTCTCTCACTAGCTCAGGTCAGCTGATTCTGTGGGTTGCCCCATCATGATCTTGACTCCTTTGTTCATATTATGGCTCCTCCCTCACTTCGATTGTACTCCAGGAGCTTGGCCCCATGGTTAGTGTATTTTTGCATCTGCTTCCTTCTGTTTCTGGAAGAGGGTTCTAGCTTCTCTGGGGTTGTGGATTGTAGGCTGGTTATCTTTTGCTTTGTGTCTGGTATCCACTTATGAGTGAGTACATACTATATTTGTCTTTCTGGGTTTGGGTTACCTCACTCAGGATGATTTTTTTCTAGTTCTGTCCATTCTTCTGCAAATTAAAAGATATAATGACAATTTTTATAAGCTGGTTTACATATGTTTTTTGTCATTTGTTTAGTGTCACTCTCCCCCTCCAACCCAGAGGCTCCATTCAGTATGCATCTATCCATCCATCCAGTCAAACAGCAATGACACCATACACATTGACTCATTCGTTAGACAAACATTTGTTGAACACTTCCACTTGCTAGGCTCTGTTCTAAAGACTGGGGAGGCTGCAAAGAGAATAACAGCTAAAAACATGGGCTTACATGTCATGCCAGGTGCTGGAGGGAAAGGGAAAAGAAGACCCAGTGAAGGGAGGGTAGGGACCGGGACACCAGGAGACCTACTGGTGGCAGGAAGGCAACCCTGCAGGCTAGGCCACTGCTGCAAAGATACCTTGGGCTGTTGGCATGGGGCAAGATGGTGGCTGTGGTAAATGAGGTCTGAGGAAAGTTCAGACCATCTGGAGCTTTGGAGCACTTTGAAGGACTCTGGGGAATTGTAGGGAGTCTTGGAAGGGTTTAAGTAAAGGAAGAAAGTGGTTTGGCTTTTAAAGTGAGCTCCCAGAGGCTAGAGAGACAAGAGCACTTGTTTCACTGAGGACCGCTGTTTGACCATAGCCATCAGTAACTCCAGTTGCAGGAAATCTCACAGCTTCTTCTGGCCTCTGAGTGCACCAGCCTACATGGGCTGCACATCCACAGATGCAGGCAAAATACACCCCTATGCATAAAATAAAACAGATAAATGTTTAAAACAATTTAAGCTAAATAAATAAAGTGGACTCCCAGAGGGAGCTGTGCTTGGAACAGGCCACAGGAAGTAAGGACAACAGAGGAAGCAGTCTGTGATAACCCAAGCTGTGTGTGCTGAGGTAAGGCTGGACTCTGGGGACACAGAGACACTCCATTCAGATGGGGTTAGTTCTCCAAAAGCTCATTAATAGGCCCTATGAGATGGCTTAGAGGGTGAAAGTGCAAGCCTGATGACCTGAGGTTAATCCCTGGGACCCATGTAAAGGTGAGAAGAGAGAACTGACTCCACGAAGCGGTCCTGTGACCTCCACAAGTACCATGGCACATGTATCTCCACAGACATATCACACACACACACACACACACACACACACACACACACACGCACGCACGCACGCACGCACGCACGCACGCACAAATACATAAATAAAAATTTAAATTCCCTCAATGTAACTAAGGAATATGCTAGCTTGCCCCCCCACACACACACACACACCCACACACACGAGTTGTGTCGCTGGTTTGCTATCATGATCATGTGACTTACTGGAGCTGTGTTTTTTTAGCTGCTGACCAACATTTTACTACCTCAGGGGGAAAAAATTAAAATTCCAAATTCTGAGTACAGTTTCCACTGAATTCATGTCCCTTTCAATATGTGTCCTTTTTTTTGTCCACTGTACAAATCAAATCATCATAAGTTAGGGGTCATATGTTTTGCTTGTTTGTTTATTTGAGAGACAGGGTTTCATTATGTAAAGCTCACTATGAAGACCTGCCTGACCTGGAAGTGGCACAGAGCTTTCTGCCTTTGGTTCCCAAGTGCTGGGTGTGAAGTTCTGCTGTATTTAAAGCTGTAAGCAAGAGGGCATCAACTTTATTTTCATTTTATTTATTTATTGTGCTTGGAGACTGACTATAAATAGCTGTCTTGTGCATGGTAAATGTGTGCTCTGCCATGAGCCTCTGAGCAATGGGATTACAGGTCCTGCTGATGTTTTAAACTTCTGGTGAGAGAGAAAAGGAGGTGCCAAGGACACCTCCCAATTTCCTGGCCTGGACAAAGGCAAGTCAGGGGCTTTGCCATTTGATGAGATGGAGCAAGATGTTTTGGGGAAGCCAGTGCTGTTTGGTTGGATGAATGAATGTCCTGGAGTTCAGGATGTCTTTGCTGAAGGTCCAGGGATGAAAGTTACAGATGTGAGACCTGGTGAGATTTGGGCTATGGGACTAGTTGCCTTGCCTGGAAGGACCAAAGAGAAGCAGAGTGAGATGGGAAGGAGGGAATCAAGAGAGTGAGGAGCATGGCCACCAGAGAAGAGAGAAAAGGAACAGGGGTGGTAACCATGTCAAAAGCAGTTGTATTATTTAGGGTCTCTAGAAGAAGAACACTGGCAGGATGAATATATATATTTTAAATCAGATGTATTAGATTGGCTTACAAATACGGTCTGGGCAGTCCAAGAATGCCTGTCTTCACAATGGAGAGGCTGAGAACCCTGGAGCAGCTCAGTCCATAAGTCTGGATGCTTCAGTGATCCCAATCTGTAGCCAAATACCCGGAGAATTCCTGGGCAGTCACTGGTCTTCAGGCTACACTGGAAGCCTAAAAAGGCTGGGTTGTGATATTAGTGAAGGAATGTGGAAGCAGTAATAGCAACAACAGAGTAGATGAACTCATCAGCAAGACATGAAGGCAACGAGGCAAAAAGCAAAGGTTTGTTTTTTTCCCTTAGAGACTCTTTTTATGTGGTTCCCACCAGAAGTTGCTGATCAAATTCAGGATAGGTCTTTCCACTTCAAGTCACCTGATCATGAAAGTCCTTTCACAGATGTGCCCAGTGACTTATATATTACTTGATTTCAGATATGGCCAAATTACAATCAAGATTAACTATCTATCACAAGTCTACCGCTTGTCAACTTGACACCCAAAAGCATCTATTTGAAGCTATAACTCTCCCCCCTTTCTCCTTATAGGTTCACAACCATATTATAATGCAAAATTCATTCAGTCCAACTTTAAAAGTTCCTGAAATCTTTAATAATTTTACTACTTTCAAAGTCCAAAGTTTCTAACCTGTGAGTTCCTAAAACATAAAAAAAAAAAGCAAGTTAGACCCTTCCACAATACAATGCCAGAGTAAGCTTTCTTACCCTGAAATGAAGATCATGGTGTAGCAAGGAGTAATCAAACCAAAACACAGCAGGGAAACCTCCAAATCCTGCAACTCCATGACTGGCACCTGGGGCTTGTGATGAAGTTCCAAACTCTTCAACAGTCCTTCCACAAACCAGTTTCAAAGACCCATGGTCAGATTTAGCTCAGCAGCAACCCCACTTCTGGTACCAATTACTATATCCTATTCCAGTGCTTGGCATAAGAGTTAGTGCTTTTGGAGCCTATGACAGACTTCTTGGCTTGCAGAGGATGAAAAGATGGCTGGGCAGGAGCACGGTGAATAGTAAGTGGACAAGTGAATAGTGGGAGGAGTCTAAATAGATTGTGGGGGAATTGTAGATGGGTAATCTTTAAGATTATAGTCTTCAAACCAGTCCTTTGATCCCAGCACTTGGGAGGCAGGAGCCAATGTTGGAGTGTGAAGTCTGGGACAGTAGGTGCTCAGTCCAGCTACAGTGAGTGAATTAAAGGGCAAGAAGAGGGCTGGAGAGATGAGTCAGCAGTCAAGAGTGTTCCATGCTCTGGCAGAGGAGTTTCCAGAACCCATGTTGGGCATCTTATAATCCCTATAGCTCCAGCTCAAGGAGATTTGATGCCTCCAACATCTACAGGCACTCGAGCTCACATGCAAAACCCTCACACAGACATACTTAGACAGGAATTAAAAAATTAACTTTTTAAAAAGGTGAATAAGAGAGCTGGAAGGTGGTTTAGTTGGTAAGTTTCTTGCCTCATGAGCATGAGGAGCCGAGTTCTAGCCCCAGAATGCACATAAAAATGATGGGTTGATGGCATGTGCTTGTGGAAAGAGAAGGGCGGGGCTTGGAATTCAAACTCACTCTTTGATCTGGGAAGTATGGAAGAGGATCAGCTGGTCATCTTTTCTCTTTCTTTCTTTTCTCTTTTCTTCTCCTTTTCTTTCTTTTTTTTTTTTTTTTTTTTTTTTTTTTTTTCTTTTTTTTCCCTTTTTTTTTTTTTTTTTTTTTTTTTTTTTTTTTTGAGACAAGGCTCTCTGTAGCTTTGGAACCATGTCCTGGAACTCACTTTATAGACCAGGCTGGCCTTGCACTCACAAAGATCTGCCTGCCTCTGACTCCCAAGTGCTGGGATTAAAGGTGTGTACCACCACTGCCTGGCTTCTCTGCCACTTTCGTAATCTATCAGGTTTTTAACCCCGATATTGGACTTCCGGGTTTTTATTAATAATAGAACAATTTAGATAAACACGTCAAGGTTGTCCTCTGGTCTACACATTCATGTGTAAGTATGTTCAGTCACACTTGCACTCACACTCATGAACTCACACACACACACACACACACGCACCCACACACTCGTGTACACACACATGAACTCATTTAAATACACATTTATTTAAGATCGGGAGGGGCAAGAAGACATGGGCCCACCCTCTGGAAGCTTAGTAGAGCTGAGAGATCCAGAGGGAGGAGCTGTCCTAGCATAGGAGAGAGGGAGTTATCTGGAAGTGTTACTGTAGGTCATCCATCAAGTCAGGACCTACATCCGAACTTGACCACATCTGGACTGGAATCTCGATTTCTCTTTTCCAGGATGTTCTGCCTATGGGAACACAGCTTAGCTGAGGAAAGTAACCAGTGGGGCTATGGCACTTTCAAGAGTACAGATTTCAAAACAGTTTATTATAGTAGTATTAACATTATATTGCTAATTATTATTTTAATTTTGTAGTTTGGTTAAAATTCTAAGATTAAGACTTGTAAGATCTCCTCCTCATTCTTGCCCCCAGCTCCACTGCTTCTCATTCTGGAAGCAAACCATCTTCCTGTTTCTTTCATGACATAAATTCTGTGCTATTTTTCTTTGTTTCAGTTATTTGAGGCAGGGTCTCACTATTCAGACCAGGCCTTAAACTCACAGAGATCCACCTGCTTCTACCTCCTGAGTTCTGGCCTTAAAGGCATGCACTACTATCCCTGACATAAATTCTGTTTGTTTCCTATATTTATACATATGGACACATACTACTGTCCTTTAGACAGCTTCTTTCTTTCCTTCTTTCTCTTTTTAGAGTGTGTGTGTGTGTGTGTGTGTGTGTGTGTGTGTGTGTGTGTGTGTTACTTTACCTACATGTATGTCAGAGGGAGAGGCTTCCTATAGAGGGGAAGGAGCCATGTATGGGAGACGGGTGACAATGTAGAGATTTAAGAGTCCATGGGTGTGTGTAGAGGGAGACGGGGCTGGGTAGAATAAGCACCACAGTCTCTCTGCTGGCCACTTGCATGCCTGGTGCCCAGGGAGGCCAGAAGCGGATGAGAATGTCAGATCCCCTGGAATTGGAGTTGTAGATAGTTGTGAGATGATGGGGGAGATCCTTCTGTCTGCTGTGAATATATGTTTCTCTTATTGGTTGATGAATAAAGCTGTTTTGGCCAATGCCCAGGCAGGATTTAGACAGACAAGAAATCTGAACAGAGATAGAGAAAGGTAGTAGGTGGGATCAGGGAGACTCCATATAGCTACTGGGAAGATAGGATACCAGACATTCTCTGGTAAGCCAAGACTGTGTGGAGATACACAGATTAATAGAAATGGGTTAATAATTAAGACAGAGCTAGCCAATAAGAAGCCTGAGCCACCAGCCAAACAGTTTATAATTAATATAAATCTCTGTGTTTATTTGGGACTAAAGGGCTGCGGGACCAGGCGGGACAGAAACTTCCATCTACAGTGAGTTGCCATATGTGTGCTGTGAATCCAACCTGGGTCCTCTTAACTGGTGAGCCATCTCTCCAGCCTCTTTTTTTAGGGTTGCCCAGGCTGGTCTTGAATTCCGGGTGTAATCAAGGCCATCCTTGAACAGCCTCTTACATGCTAGGTGTGCTCCACCACACCTGGTTCCTTCTGGTTTAACCAGATGTCTTGAAGAGGATTGGCTCTCTGTTCAGAAGGCCCTTCCTGTGAGTCCTTTCAAGTTATAGCCCCACGGCAGGAATGCAGACATTTGCTCTCCCCTCTGTGACAGACATTCAGGATGTCCAAGCTTCTGCGGTATAAGCAAGGCTGGTGTTCACCAGATGCTATGCAAAAAAACTCGTGGAGCCAATTACCTACACACAGACTCTCTAAGTCAAAAGTATGTTTGTACTTTCACAGGAACCCTTCCATGGAGCTTGTCCCCAGCCACCTCTGTTTTCCCACAATTTCCACAGCACAGGCAGTTCTACAAACTTCCGATCTTTGCCAAATTGGAAAAATGGAAGTAGGTGTCTTTCCTAGAGCCTTCTCTGCTTCTGGCGGGTGGGTGAATCTTTCTGTATTCCACCACCCTGCGGGCAGATGTGCAGGGACGGAGTTGGTGACTGGAGCACGCTTGTTGGAAGGAGGCACCCCTAGTGAGGAAGGGGCTGTGGCCAGCAGAGAGACCCCGCGGCTTCCTCTGTACAGCCTTCCTCTTCCTCCATACACACACCCTTGGGCTCTCAAGCCTCCACATTGTCACACAACACTCAAAGCTCCTTCTCCTCCGTAGGAAGCCACTCCCTCTTCCTGTCATTCAACATTTCTTTGGCTCCGGGATTCCAGAAGTCTGGGCTAGGGAGATAGCCCGTCCTTCCGTTAGAAGATAAAAGACTCTGAGGCAGTCTGTCCTACCCTAAGCCGTGGAGCCATGAGCAGAACCAATATGTGGATACTGGTGTGTCTGGCAGGAATGGATATCATCTCCATGGCAACTCCAAGCGTCAAGACTCCTGACTATGCAGTCGGGGCAGTGATAAAGGAGCTGATCCTTGCTGAGTCACCTTCCACACCTACCCTACTCTCTGGACTCCGGCTTCACATATTTTGTTCTCACCCTTGAACCTGCCAAGCTCCCCCTGCCTTAGCGCCTCTGCCCTGTGGTCCTATCTTTCTAGACCTCTCTTCCCAAGACCCCCCGCCCTCCCCCACCCCCACCCCCGTCTCTCACGGTTTGGCCTGCTCTTTTAGGTGTTGAGTGTTGCCTGCCCCTCCTGCTAATCTCTAAGACCCATTTATGCCTCACACAAGTCCAGGAGCTGAAGGTTTAGAAGATGGAGTTGAATGCAGTGCCTGGTGGATCCTGAGTCTCCTGTAACTCCGAACTGTTGCTTGTCACCCTGTAAGCTCCAGTGGCCATCGCTGTTGTATCTGGAGGGAACAACCTCACCTGGCAGCTCCTGGAGAAGTATGGGGTGGTGTGCCAAACAGGGATGTTGGAGAAGCAGAAGGAGTGAGTGGAGCAGGCTGCCACAGCCGGAAAGAGGTCTCAGGCTGTTTTCTGTGGCTATAACTGAACAATATAGACTGAGTTGTTTGCAATGAGGAGATTATTGTGTGGTTTGGGCTTGGAGCCTGCGAAGTCTCAGGGCATGGCACTGCACTGTGCTGTGTGGCTTTGGGGTAGGAACATAACTTTTTTTGTTCCCACATCACTTGGAGAGGGCCTCCACAGCAACATGAGACACCTTTTACAACAAAGCCACTCTGCTGGAAGCCAATAGCCCCTCCTCCCCCCAGTGTATGGAAGGATGAATTTATTCAGGAGGGCAGAATCCTCATAACACAAACATGCCGCCTTCAAATAATACCATTACCATGTGCCTTGGGAGGGGGTTAAGTTTCCAAAACATGACATGATCATAGGCCCGGAAGTGGGTGTTATGCCTCAAGTTTTGGGGAGTTGGGGACAGGAGAGATGGTCTGGTGATAATAAACATCTGTTGCTCTCCCAGAGGACCAGAGCTTAGATCCCAGCATCCATATCATTAGATGGCCCGGCTGCCTATAGCTCTGGGGTAGCCACGTGCTCATGCATATCCACACAAGCTGACACACATATCCACATAAATAAAAATAAGAATCTTAGATTTGAAACTGGGGCTCAGAGAGTGATAAACCTAAGACCACCATGTTGGTCATTGTGCTTCCAAAGCTACCAACACACATCAAGGAGTGATGTCATATGCCTGTAATCCAGTACTTGGGAGGTAGAGGCAGGAGGGTTATCCTGGGCTACACAGTGAGTCCAGCCTGGGTTACAATAGAGTCCGTGCAGACAAATGAAAGCACCTAGAACAGTGTCTGTAGACTGAATGAGCAATTTACATTTTCACATCTAAGCACTGAAGGTTTTGTCAGGGCTTAGAATTTGGGGATGTACCTGGGAGCATCCCAAGTATGTGGGCCAGAGCTGTAGCCAGGCTTCCTGTGTTTCCCCTGCGTCTGAGTCTCCTGGTGAAGAAATCCATGTTGACAGGGTCAGGAATCTCTGAGCTGGGTGGTCTTTTCCACACAGCGTCCCCCCTCCACCTCCAGTCCTCTGGAGTATATGCTGAGGAAGCCTTTGTCCTGTAGCTGAAAGAAGCTTTGCATAGGTACGAGGCCTAACTTGCGGCAGTAGGGGCAGGACAGGAACAAAGACGGAGGCCTGGGAGGGAGATGCCCAGGCTGTGCTCTTGGGATACATGCTGTAGCTGACATCTGGCTGGGCAGGCACATGTGCAGGCATATGTGCACACACAAACCCACCTCCTGCCCTTCCACATAAGTCACACTCGTGTTCACAGGCCTTGGGTCAGTCCATATTCCAGGAGTCCTCTTAGTCCCCAGGCTGCGGCAGGATCAGGTCAAGTGGTACACTCAGTACTCAGTGCCCAATCTGAGCCACCTAAAATAGCTAAATCTCTCTCTCTCTCTCTCTCTCTCTCTCTCTCTCTCTCTCTGTGTGTGTGTGTGTGTGTGTGTGTGTGTAGAAGGAGTTTCACTACTGTAGCCTTGACTGGCCTGGAACTCACTATGTAGACCAGACTGGCTTTGAACTCATAGAGATCTGCCTGCCTCCACTTCTGGACCGCTGGAATTAAAGGTGTGAGCCATCATACTTGGGTCACTTATGATTTCTGAAAATGCTACCTAGTGTGGCTACTCTTGAACCTATAATCCCAGCATTTGAGAAGATGAGGCAGAATGATCTCCAGGAGCTCCAGGGCAGCCTGGGCAACATAAGGATACCTCAGCTCTTACAACAACAAAAGGTTTGTGAAAAAAATGAATCTGTGCTTCCCCCTGTTCTTTTCTCTGTCCCTTCCCACTGGCCTTCCTTCACTAGCTGGCCTCCTGGGACCAGTGAAATGCTCCCTACCTGTAAGCCCTCCCTCCCTCCCTCCACTCACACTCACACTCACACACCTGCTTAGTGTATGTATGACCAGATGCCAAGTCTGGCTGGCGGCTCCTCCCCTGCCAAACCAGCTCAGGTCTGGCCCTTGCCCAGGTGTACACCCCAAGGACATCCTGTTTTTCTCTCTGCCCTGAGCACATGTCCCAGATTGGATGCTTATGAAATCCTCTGAGTTCTTCCCTCACCAGGTCCCTGATGGCCTGGTGCCCAGAGCTTGGCTTTGGTGAGGCTGGGACAGGAAGCTTCCAACACTGCTGACAACAATCCTGCCTGAGAAGTAGTTACTGGTCCTATCACCATGCAGGACCAGGGAGTGCACCTGTGAACACAGGCTCACAGGAGGATGTGACACACCCAAGGTCACAGGGAGTGTCAGCTTGGGAACCTAGCCATGGCACATCTGCACACTGTGAAGCAGTGGGGACACCACTGCTGATGGGCCCCGGGCTCCGGTCACCGCCATTTGCAGGTGGGGTGGCATCAGCCAAAGCCACTTTACTTCATACAGTAAGTGCTCAATAAATGTAGCTACTAGAAAAAAAAAAACAAAACAAAACCAAGGTAGCGGAGCAAGACTAAATGCACTAAATTGACTGTGTCAGTGGGTCTCAGACCTCATCTCATACTTGGGTCGAATGTGAGTGTGCGTCAAGAAGCATTCTGGGATACAACATGCTTATTGCATTGATTTACATCAGAACTTACGAGTCTGGGAATTCAGATGGAGCCACTGTTCACCTCCAACAATGTATATCATTCCATGGTGATCCTCACGATCTATGAGCATTCATCAGGGCAGGGGATGCTGTTCTTCTAATGTCGTGGGCCGGCATATCTCGGCCCCAGACCACAGAAGCCATGAGGTCAGGCCCGAGTGGGGGAGCGTGGACTTGGGGATTTCTAGTAACCCAACGGCGATAAAGACCAGACATAGGCATCTTGTCATCTTTAGAGAGCTATCAGGCCCATGCTGCAAGACTGGAGTCTCTTCTTTATTGAGCATCTTCCTGGCTGTTTCCTAACCATGCTTCCCTGACCCTGAGACCACTTCTCTTCCATCTTCCTGGACCCTATCAGCAGATCTCTCTCAACTGTCTCCCCACCAGATACCTTCTAACCAATATCTGTCCTCACTTGTCACGTACACCTAACCTTCTGCCCTGTTACAGGCCTATTCAAATGCTTAGTTCTGTAGAGATGCAAACTAGGGGACTTTCTCCACCGAGGCTATGCTATTCAATAGCAGAATAGCTAGCATCTGCAAATACAACATAGACCAGAGCTCCTGGTTATTGGGTTACTGGAACCGGAGGAAGGGACTTTGAGAAATTCCCTAATGGAATCAGTTCTTGGCTCTCGACAATCTAAACAGACAAGTATGCTGCCTCCATCTGTGGTCCCAGGCAGGGGTGCTGTTTGAGAGAATGCCCCAGGCCCCCAGCAGGTTGCTCAGTTTCTGTACCAAAGGTGCCAGAGGCATGGGGCATTCTGGACTTGCATTGTTTTCATTCAAGTTCCACACCTGCCAGCTGTTCAGTCTTGGGCAGGATGCTTGTGCGCGCACACACTATGTTCTGTGTTCTGTGAACCAGAGAGAGTGGAAAACCCCTTCCGATGTATAGAAGAACAAAAATCTATAGTCTATTGAGGACAGAACTGAGCCCAGTCAGGGGCTGTATATGTCACTATTATTGGTTTTTAAAGACAGGATCTCACTATGTAGCCCTGGCTGGCTTGGAACTCACTATATAGACCAGGCTGGCCCCAAACTCACAGAGATAGGTCAGTCTCTCTTCCAAATCAGGTTGGTCTTCAACTCACTATGCATCCAGGAATGACTCTGAACTTCTGACTCTCCTGCTTCTACCTCTCAAGTGCTGGGATTACAGACATGAGCCACACCTTGCCATGCAATGCTGGCAATCCAACCCAGGACTCCATGCTTGCTAGGTAAGCATTCTACCAACCTGCTACACACCCCGGCCCATGTGCCGCTCTCTGAATCTCCCTGTTTGAACCCTGTGATATGACATCACACCATCCCATTACAGTGTTTACCCAGTGGTCTATTGTCTCCTTTGGTGGCAGGACAGTCCATTCCTCTAGACTGTGAGTCCCTGGAGGCAGGGTTCTATCTGTGTCATCTCTAGTTTCAGTCCGTGTGGCTTGGCTTTCTCTTCCCACAATAGCTCACATTTATTGGTTCAGGTGCCAGGCACTAGGTGAACCTCAACAGGTTCCCAAACAATCTCAAGGACCTCGTATCCTTGTTGTCCAACTTTGAGAGGCAAAACTAAAACAAAATTGACAGCAGAAAGGTCATGTAGTGTGCACCTATCATCCCAGTACTGAGGAGACTGGGGCAGGAGGATGGTGGCCCAAGCCAGCCAGAGCTAAGTAGTAGGGCATCTTCCCAGAAAATAAAGAGATGGAAGGATGACTCAGCGGTTAAGAGTGATGGCTGATCTTCCAGAGGCAAGAGTGCTGTTCCCAGCATCCATGTCAGGCATCTAACCATTCCAGCTCCAGGGGACCCAACACTCTCTCCTGGCCTCTGTGGGTACCCACACATGTGGTGCACACTTGTGCACTTGTGAGCGCATGCGCGCGCACGCGCACGCGCACACACACACACACACACACACACACACACACACAGATTCAGAGAGGTTGAGACTTGGGCTCACACAGCATCTAATCCTGGCCTACTGACTCATCCTAACAAGGCACT